TTTTTTTGCGGTATGCGGGCCTCTCACTGTTGTGGCCTCTCCCGTTGAGTAGCCCAGGCTCCAGACGCGCAGGCTCAGCGGCCATGGCTCACGGGCGCAGCCGCTTCGCGGCATGTGGGACCTTCCCAGACCGGGGCACGAACCCGTGTCCCCTGCATCAGCAGGCGGACTCTCAACCACTGCACCACCAGGGAAGTCCTCAAATCTATTTCTTAAGGGAAAGCCCAGTCTTTCTAAGGACACACCTGATTAGGTCAGATCCACTCAGGATAATTTCACTTTCTTGAAGTCAGCTGTGCCATGTAATATACCAAATCATGACCGTGACTACCCCATCTTATCCACAGGTCCTGGGGGTTTGCTGGGTATATATACCCGGAGGGCAAGAAATGTGGGGACCATCTTAAAATTCTGCCTACGGTGCTGTCCATCTCCATCATGACACAGTCCTGGAACAGATCCTTAGTTCTCCCATGTGCAGCTTCCCAACCATCCAGCCCACCAATTCCCCAGGGCTCACTTCAGCTACACAGGCCTGCCCATCTTTGGCCAGCACCCAGCCCTACCCCTGTTACTCTGGCTTCCAGATCACCCCAGCTTCTTTCTAATACTCCATATCGTCCTCTCCTTCTCTGTGGCCCAGGGAACCTGAGTGGCTCTGGCTCACAGACACACTGGGGAGTCTCCTGGCCCCAGATGCCCAAGGGGTTCCTTGCCCCGACTGCTGCATCAGCAACAACTTAGCCTTTCTGCTCTGGGGGTAAATGCAGTGCTGTGCTCCACAGGTTATGAAGGGGGCAGCCTGACGAAAATCCTGAAGGACATTGAGCAGAGCCCCTTGGTGATGCTGGACCGCTGGCATCTGGAAGTCATCCCCAGAGAGGAGGCGGAGAATGGGGACCAGGTCCCGTACAACCTCATGAACAACTATTTCTCTATCGGCGTGGTGAGTTGGCCAGGGATGGCTTTTCTGAACTGGAGACAAGTGCCTGGGTGGGCAGGAAGGGTTCTAGTCTTCCACTGTCCCCTCTGGGTCCCTATTCTTTACCTAGCCCGGCTGTCCCCAGCCTCGACTCAGGTCCAGGCATCCTTGCATCTGGCCTGGACATGGACATCCTTATCGCACCAAGCCCCGCCCATGATTATGGAGGAAGCTCCTGCCCCTATCATTCAAAAAACAGCACATTTTTCAAAAGACCTATTTACCCTTGGGATAATTTGAAGTAATTAAAGAAAAGCGACACCAAGAAATAACCAAGAGCTGAGGTCAGAAGGAGACTCTCGGGTGAGCTTCCAGAATTGGAAATTCTGATCCTCCAGGGAAGACGTTGTCTCAAGCTGGCTCTGCTGGCTTAGCTCTCAGAATTCCATCTCTCCTCTTCTCTCCCCTCATCCCAGCCCAGTCCAAGAGCTCATAAGCCTCTGGGGCATCTCCTCCTGGCTGACCCCTCAGGCTGAGCTCTGTGTTCCCCCTGGTGCTCCCACAGCCCTCTGTGCTCACCTCTGCCTTAGATTGAAGGGATTGTTTTAACGTGCCTGTCTCAGCCCTCCCGAAACACGCACACATGCACGCACACACGCACGCACCCGTACACATACGCACACAGACACACACACGGTAGAAGGACAGCACCACGTTCCTCTTTCTCCCCTAGCTCCCATCACATATAGCACAGCTCAGTTGGTTTGTTTTGTTGAACTCAGCTTCTGGTCCAAAGTGCATGGGGTGGACACTGCTTCCCAAACTGTTGGGGCAGCACTGGGGAGAAAAGTTATCGATCATTTTCATAAACAGAACTGGGGCTTGGGAGGAAGGTGCAACAAAGATACTAGCATTTATTGAGCACCTACTGTATGCCCTCCATGGTGCTAGACTTTAGTCCTCACAGCAATCCTGCAGGTATTGTCCCCACCATCCGCATGTTACAGATGAAGCCTCAGGACACCGGGCAAGGAAGCGCACACACACTGTACCTTGCTCCGAAGCCAGGTTCCTTCCTCTCTGCTTCCCTGTCTTGGGAATTATGCTGCCCAGTTTCATACGCACATAAGGCCCTCCAGACCAAGACTGTGTGATCATCTCAATCATAACCTGTGCCTCTTTTGCAAATGTTGGTGGTTTAAAAAAAGGAAAGAAAAAGAGAAATGATAGGTAGCTTGAGGGAAGAGCAGGGTTAAGGAACGGGTTTTGTTTTTTAATAAGAAAACTAAAAGGAGAACCGTGAAAGAGAAAAGGAATAATAATAATACCTTATATTTATGGGATTTTAAAATTTACCGTATTCACAGATATTTTGATTCTTATGATTACACTGGAGGGCAGTACTACCTCCGCTCTGTAAGTGAGGAAATAGAGGATTAGACTGAGGGATTTGCCTTCATTTTCTGACTCCCAATGCCGCCCTCTTTTTCTATTACTAAAACAGAAGACAGAGGCGTTGCTGGACCCGTGATCAGGCTCTGAGAGGATGGGGGCGCTGGACGAGAAACATACTTAGGGGTCTCTGCTGTCCTGATATGGTTTATCTCCCCAGCTCCCCTGCCCTCATGGGGGGAGATGTCTTTCCCTCGCACCCTCGTTGCTGGACCCGTGATCAGGCTCTGAGAGGATGGGGGCGCTGGACGAGAAACATACTTAGGGGTCTCTGCTGTCCTGATATGGTTTATCTCCCCAGCTCCCCTGCCGTCATGGGGGGAGATGTCTCTCCCTAGCACCCTCCAGCTCCTCCCCCAGTGACCTAGGCAGACCTCTCCCTCCTGTTCTTGGCTCAAAAGCCCCTCTACTTTGGGACCACCTGCTCAGGTTCCACTTCACGCAGTCTTCAGCTTCTGCAAATCAGACTTGACTGACAGGTCTGGTGTTCGGGGGCTCAGAGGACTTCTGGATCACGGGCTTCCCATCTTTACAGTGTGACAGAAACTCGTGTCCTTTTTCCTAAACCAGAGGATAACCTGCTGACATGTACTGAGTACCTAATGCACGCCAGGCACAGTGTCCCTATTGGTGGGTATAGCCCTTGCCCTTTTACATTTTGTAAGAAGGATCTGTGGCTTAGAAAGGTAGAGACCAGTCCAAGCTGGTGAGTGATAGAGCCGGGAATCACTAGAGTCGAGTTCCAGAGCCCACCTAGCTATAGACCCTGAGCCATGCAGCCTCTGCACAGCCCTCCATCTCCATGCTGCCGAATGCAGCAGCATTGGGTGGGGAGGCGGGCCTTAAAATTTAGTGCGTGATGGCTCGCCTATACCCCACCTGTACCTTTTGTCAGAAATGCAGATTCCAGCCCTGTGACAGATCCTGATTCATATTGATTCAGTCGGTCCGGGCAAGGTCTGGGAATTTGCATTTTTAACAAGGGCCTGAGATAATTCTGATGCAGACAGTCCCAATCAAGTCCTCAGTGAGTGAAGACAACCCGTTAGAACAGAGAAGGATGGTCAAAGGAAGTGGTTCTTCACAGGAGCAGAACCCAGATCTGAAGTAGATGACAGAGAGAAAAGATAGAAAGGAGGGGAAAGCAGCTCCTGTAAGCCATGGGCCAGAAGTGAAAGCTGAGCCGCAAGACTAGGTGATCTGCCTGGGAGCTTCTAGATGGCAGGTTACACCCACGGCTGCCTTCAGAGTCCTCAGCTCCAAGTCTTCTCTTTCTTAACATGCCCAGCTCTGGCTGCCAGAAAAAACAGGATTCCTAAGGCCTCCCTGTCCATCTGTGCCAAGCGCCATATGCAAAAAATGACATTCACTTAGTATTGCTGACCAAATGGATGACCATGCCGAAAAGGAAGATACAACTTCCCCTCAACTAGATAACCAAGCCCTAATCCCAAAAGCCAAAACTGAGCATGGTTTTAATTCATTCTTACAAATAAGATGGAAATGGGTGGGGGGAAGGGAGGGAGGGAGGGAGGAAAAGAAGGAAAGAATACAGACTAATTGTCCCCCAAGGAAATGCATAGCGGGACTTCCCTGGCAGTCCAGTGATTAAGACTCCACGCTTCCACTTCAGGGGGCTCGGGTTCTATCCCTGGTTGGGGAACTAAGATCCCGCATGCTACGTGGTTCGGCAAAAAAAAAAAAAAAAAAGGGAAATGCATAGGAACAGATGCTCCGTTTCTTTCAGCGGTCAAGATATTTATTTGCCCTGGGCTGACCTATAATAATCCAATCGGTTCATCTTTCAAATTATGAATAACTTCACAAAATCTTTCTGTTTTTTTCATATACCTTTAGCTTGTGCGTGTTTAATATTTTATTGCAAAGCAGTGAAGAACCAGGATTGTTTTTATCTCACTGGTGTACCCTTAGCCTTGTCTCAATAAAATGCTTGCAGGGTTTGTGTGCTCACTCTTTAAAAGCTGGAAAGGGAAATTCTTGAGAAAACAAGTAGCCAACATGTAACCCTAAGAGAATCTGGGGCTGACATTTGCAGAAGCTCTTGCTCCCTATTTGACTTCCCAAACTTTGTAAGAGGAGAATAGTATGTAAACCAACCCCCAGTTTTACTTCCTTAAGATGATTAGAGTCAGACTCCTTTGGCAAAGAGAGCTGCAGTCTTTGCCTCTTTTGGAGGACCTGGAATATCTTACTGATATCAAATGTCTGCTGCCCTGCACTTGTAAAGGTGGTGACGGTGACCGCTGCCATGGTGTCCCTGGGTGGTAAAGAATTCACCCTGATGAGTTCACTCACTCCTCTTGGTGCCAATTGAACCCATTTAATAGATGGAGGGATAAGCAGGGCAGACTCCTACCCTAATGAGAGAGTGACAAGGGCCTCACTGTCACCACATTCCCATCACCCACAAGACATGCCAGCTCCCCACCAATGAAGAGCTGAGACTGTTGGCCTTCTCAGCCCTGAGACGTGATAACACCCACTGGCAGGAGATTTTAAACACAGTCATTCAGGATGCTACTTCCTCTGACTTCTCTGGCCTCCTCATCCCTGCTCTTTATTTTTGGATTTGCAGACATGTCAGGATGGCCAGGTATCAGTGACAGGAAGTTTGGGACTGCAAAATAATTCCTGTGGTATGTGTAATTCTGAACACCTCAAAGGCTCTGCTTTCACTGAGCCTTAACGGGATGAGTAAACAGCTAATCCCCTGAGTCAATGAAATCTATTTCTGATGCTAGGGGAACCCAAGGGCCAAGGAGAAGCCACAGTCATTACACTAAGCCACACATCGGCTTCTACCTGACATTCTGTACTTATTAGACTTTACCAGCTCAGTTTCCACAATGGTAGACCCATTAGGGAATTTGTCAGAAAGTCATCATTTCCCTGCAGCTTTTAAATTCCTTCAGCCTCAGGTTCTTGTCTGTCACCTATGAGAGCCAGGAAGGTACTTGAACAATGGGCCGGGCCCCACTGAGAGGTGTCTTGGACAAGGGGTCTACACTCTTTTTCATTCCCCAATCTGCTGTCATTTTTCAGAACAAGCCAAATTCCCAATAATGTGTCTTATTGTCTCCTTTCTGTTTTTTTTTTTAATCTCCATAGATTGCCAAAGTGACTTAGACCTACCTTGTCCAATATGGTAGCCATTAGCCACATGTGGCTATTGTGTACCTGACATGGGGTTACTCTAAGTTGAGAGATGCTATAAGTATAAAGTACACATCAAATTTCAAAAATGTAGCCTGAAAGAATTTTAAATATCTCAATGATTTTTAGATTACTTACATGTTGTAGTGATAATATTTGTGAATTGAAATGTAGTATTAAAATTAATTCCATCTGTTTCTTTTCACTTTTTTTTTTTTTTTTTTTTTTTTTTTGGTACACGGGTCTCTCACTGCCGTGGCCTCTCCCGCTGTGGAGCACAGGCTCCGGACGTGCAGGCTCAGCAGCCATGGCTCATGGGCCCAGCCGCTCCGCGGCATGTGGGATCCTCCCGGACGGGGGCACAAACCCGTGTCCCCTGCATCGGCAGGCGGACTCCCACCCACTGCGCCACCAGGGAAGCCCTCTTTTCACTTTTTTAATGTGGCTACTAAAATTTTTTTAATTTATTTCTATTGGACGGGACTGGCCTAGACATCCAAATAGCTCAGAGTCCAAATGACTACTGCTTATATTTGGAAGGGGCACAAGAGTCTTTTGTCCAGCTCTGCACTTGGGAATTTTATAGTTCAGGAAAGAGTAGCCATGTGTCCATACTGCTTTTATCTCCTTTTCACCCCACACCTCATAGAAAGGACCCTGGAGAATGAGGCCATCAGAAATGGGTGTGCAATTCCCACCTCCACCCCCACCGTCCGAACAGAAGTCTCATTTTGCTGGAATTATTACAAGAAAGGGTTGGAACCATAGTAGCACTGGTTTCTAAAATTTAAATGAAGTCACTACTGAATGTAAGTACAGCCAGCTCAGTGCCTGGCACAGAGAAGCCCAGAAGAGGAGGGAGGTGAATCTTGCCTCTCTTTTTAATCCCCAGGTAGAGAACCACGGTCAGAGTCTTTACCAGCATTGCCTTTTCAAAACTGAACAGCAGAGGACCTGCTCAACTCCCTCTGACCACTTTGTGTATTTACCACGGGATTACATTGTCAAATTAGGAACCACATGCTTAACTAGTAATATTGTAAAGGCTGGTCTTTGTGAAAAGAAGCTTTGCAAAACCTAGTTATGAAAAAGAAAAAAAAAACAAGGATAATTGGAACTACACAGAGGGCAGGGGCCTGTGCACATATCCCAGGGAATTAAAAAACCAGGAGCCAGTCATAACAGCGTTGGGGGCAGGGGATAGTGAAATACAAATTGTGCCAGGCAACATGTGATTGCTTTTTTCTTTTCTTTCTTCTTTCTTTTTTCCTGACAGAAGAAAATTAGTGCTTCAGAAGAACACAAGTAGATGGAATGTTTTCTTGAATTCTAAAGAAGGATTTGACAGATGTCACATGAATCTTATTCAGAGTGTTCACGAAACTTGCTCAGAGCAGGGAACTGGAGGCATGAAGTGCTCCTGCCTGGAGAAGCTGTGCAGGCTGGATAGGCCCAGAGGACAGAGGCCCCCCCAGGGTGTTGCATCTCTCCCACCGTTGTCCACAGGGGTGCCTAAACTTCAACTCTTGATGTGTCTTAAACAAAAAACTAACAAAGAAATCAATAACTAGGGTTTAAATGTTAAATTCCCAATACATTGTTTCAGCAAAGAGTGTTTGCCAACCATAAAATAAGCCCATATCCTTGACTTGCCCTGTCTGCCTTTCAACAGGGGCTGCTAGCTGGGTTTACTTCTCTGCCAAGTGCAAATATTACAAAAGCTCCTCTTTGCCCCCAACTTGCTTCTGGATTTTCTGTCCGCACCCTCAGCTTGTATTTTACTCCCCACACACAGCACATGCTCAAAATAAGCTTTTGCACTGAGCTACACCTCCTGATGTTAAAAAAATATATTTTTTCAGAAATTTTCTTTTGTTGAATTTTCAGGAAAAGGAATTAATATGCACTAGCTGAAAATTCACTGGGTGGAATTTGAGTTTTCTTTTAGCTACACAGTCCAGTAAATGAGTTTCTGTATCTTTTTTTCCCTGCACAAATCTGAATCAGCTCCCTTGTTCTGTCGCCACTCCCCACCTCCCCTCCCACCCTCCCCCACCACACCCCCACCATTCCTAGCTCAATTAGCCTGTTTATTTCTAAAACCCACCACCTGCGCCCCCCCCCCCCAGATGTGCTGTGGGGAGGCCTGAGCTGCGAAGGTGGGGCATAGCACATTCTTTTGCTGGAAAAGGAGACCATTAACAAGGGCTGAGGACCAAATTTGAGGAAGAAAGATGAGTTCAGTTTTAGGACTGAAATTCAGGTTTGGTTCTAGAGTGATACACTGTGGAGACATCAGCAGCTACGTGCTAGTAACGACTATGAGAACTCAAGATGGCCCGTGGCATGGAGTGTAGGCTGCAGAACGGGCTCAGGGCTGTGAAGTTCTGCTCCGAGCATGGAGAGCCCGGAAGCATGGTGACATGAGAACTATCCTAACTGTGAGTTCTGAGGAGCAGGTGGCCAAAGTGCAGCAAAGGAATGTGCTAATAGGAGGACAGCAAAGTGTCCGTAGAATGTGATAATGAGACTCTTACTGACCTTAGGGAGAGTTGTTTCCATGGAGTGATCAAGAGGCAGAAGCCAGAAGTTTAAATATATTTTTAATTATCTGCTAAGCCTGTTATCCAGTGCTACCAATTCTGTCTACTGATATGGATGATTAAGAGTTAATATATAACAGCATCTACCAACATCAGTTTTCTGGTTTAGAGAGTTATGTAAGATGTTATCACTGGGGGGAGCTGGGTGAAAGGGACACAGGGACTCTCGGTACTATTTTTGCAGCTTCTTATTAATATTCCAGAATACAAAGTGTTTTTTTTTAAAGAGTGAATAGGGTGAGGCATTTCTAAACACTCACACTTAGCCCCACGTGGGCTTCTGCGTTCTCACTGCTCACAGACCCAGACACACTCCCTGCCCCCAAAGGGCAGCCGCGTCCCCTTTCACTCTCCCTGAACTCAGGTGGGTAGAGAGTGAACATTGCAGACTATAACAGGATGGGGGGCACTGGCCCCTAACCTTGGACCTGGTGTCCAGCCTCTGTGGGGGCCTCCCTGGTCTCCCCTGTGAGATCTGGGGGATTTCGGTGAGAGAGTGCGCTCGCTTCCCTTCCTTCCACATTATGCAGGGTCAGGACCACTAACCAGGGATCTGCTTTCTGTCCCTTTGCCTTTCAGGATGCTTCCATCGCACACAGATTCCACGTGATGAGAGAGAAACACCCTGAAAAATTCAACAGCAGGTAAGAGGGCCCAGCGGGTGTAGCCGGGGCTGCACTGCCCACCTGCCCTGCCTGCGCGGCCACCGGTCCCAGGCCTCCACCTGCTCTCACCGAAATGTTCTCGGCCCGGCTGCCCAGCGCTTTTCCTGCCACGTTGCCGGAAGGAGGGCTTCCATTTCCAAGAAGAAAGCAATGTCAGAAACCTGTCGCAGTCTGGTGGCCTTTCCCCTCGCAGAGGATGGTGTGCAGAGGGAGGGCCTGGGGCCAGGAGGGAGGGCGTGGTGCGCCCGCCTTGGGGAGTGGGGGGTCTGCGCTTGACTAACTGGATCCCCCTCTTGGGGCGCGCCGCTTTCTCAAAACCAACTGCTCCCAGCTCCAGTCCCTTGACTCCTCGGGTGAGGGGCTGGCAGGGGTCAGAGGCCTCAGCTTCCCCTCGTCGCAAAGAGGAGGGGATGGCGGCTCGCATCCCGAGCAGAGAGGGCCGAGAGGGCGGCGCCTCCGCCTCCGCCTCCGCCTCCGCCTTCCCTGCCGGCAGAGGGCAGCAGAGGGAGGCCCTGCAGAGGCGGGGAGCCCACCCGAGCCCAGCCTCAGCCCGCGCACCTGGGAAGGCAGGCTGTGAGGTCCAAAAACCAAGCAGAAAAGAAAACCAGATCATTTGCAAAGTCAAACCATTCTGCCGGCGGGTAGCATATAGCCACCCTGGGATTGCTCAGTTACCTTTCTCCCTTCCTCCTTGTCCTCTTCTCGGTGGTTAATTTGCATTCTTTCTCTTTCCTTTCTGTTGGACCTCATCTAAGTGACCGCTTGATCCCACCCCACCCTCAGGCAGGTGGGGAGGAGAGGGGGTATTAATTTGGGCTCAGTTTGAGTCTAAGAGACTTGACTTTATTTAGCCCACCAAGCAGCAGTCCAGTGTTACGCGCACACGTTCATTTAAAGCCAGGCACTCCCACAGACCTCCATCATTTTCATCCCTCCTCCTTTCCCCGGACCCCATGGCTGGGAGGTTAACCAACAATCAGAAAGTCTTTTTCGGGATCAGAAAGTGAACATAATGAAGCTACTTTGACTTCAGGAAAAGTGATCTGTGGAGTCTAATAGCTGAGCTAACCTTATTCGAATGTACTTTCCCTCACACACACCAAGTCAGTTCACAGAACACTATTAACATGTATATTTTCAGCCCCTATTCCTATTATAGTCACAAACGTACAGATCAACTGATGCTCTTCTCACAATCTTTTTCACTCTAATATATACACCAAAAAAATCACTTTAAAAAATTACTTCTCTTCCATCCATTCCAGACTTTTAAGGTCCTCTTTTTACACAGATACCATTATGCATACTCATGCATACATGCTTGATAAGATGCCAAATGTTTGTGAAATCCATGGGGGGGTTCTGTTCATTCATTCAATGAATGTATCTTTTGAAAACAGTACCAGGCACTGTTGTATGGGTGTTTTGGATAGACATGGGTAGGGGGCTCATGGTGCAGGTGTGGAGACAGACTGGAAAGCAGCATTGCAGAGTGATCTGTGTTAAACGATATGAATCAAAGTGACATAAAGCAATGGCATGGAATTTGATGTGGAGGGTCTTCCAACTAGAGAGATGCCTTGAACCAAGACACAGAAAACAAGTAACTACTTTCCAGGTTGACAGAAAGAGAAGGTCAACCCAGCGAGAAGGAACCAAATGTACCAAAAGATCCAAAGGAGTGATGGAAAACAGCCTGCTTGGGCAAAAGCAAGCTATTCAGTGTGGCCTGTTGTGTGGCCTCCTTTAGTGGAAAGAAGCAAAACCTCCGCAGTTTGCAGAGAGCAAGGAAGCAGAAGGAGGGAAGAATTTCTCCATACTGCAAAAATCAATAGACAGGTCAACATATGACATAAATAGAGCAGTCATCAATTATCCACATGATTAAGTACAGTTAGAAAGATACCTCTGTCAGGAAAAAAGTTGTAACTGTTCATTTCAACCCAAAGTATGAACAGTTTCACTGTGATCTGAATGACTGCTTTTCCTCCCCACTTCCCAGTTTCCATCAGCAAGACTACTCTTTGCAGTTAGGTGTGTATCTTACTCTTCACCTGGTTGAGGTCAAGGTCATGTGGTGACCTAAGGATGCCAGACACAGGGATTTGCATGTAAATCCATGTGCCTTCTAACAAGTGAAGACATAGTGGCGTAGAGGTAGGCGCTGTCTCACAAGGTCCCAGAACACTTCCTATTAAGAACTCTGAGTCCATGTTGCTTCTGCCCTGCCTGCTTGCTCATGTTGAAAATACCCAGGAATGCACAGTTTGTCCACTGAGAGGCAGGCGAGCAGCCATGTTTTTCCAGGATTCCTTATTTAGCTTTGGAGATGGTTTTAAATAGGCAGGTGGTTGTTGCCATGGTTACCCCATTACACCAGCAGCTAAATTTAGGAAGGGCCACAAGGGATAGGAAGAAAGCTTGATACCGGGATTTGGAAATGTAAATGATATTATCAAACAAGGCTTTAGTTTTACTCAGCTAAACTTAGGTTTTCCAAAGAGTAGTCACTGCTTGGCTGGATGCCCTTACTGTTAATGCCTGGGACTAGGCCCTCAGGGATAACCCTGAGGTTAAATCTAGGGAGTTGTAACTGTTTTGTTTTGCTTTGTTTTGAACAAGCGAATGTGACTAGTCAGGGCTAGAATTTATGAGGAAACTTGAATCTTTTGCGTTGCTCATTCGGTTTTCTGGGCTATTCTAACAAGAATTCTTAACCTAGGTACAAGGGCTGCAGGAGGTCTGAAGACACCTTGGAACTGTATGTAAGATATTGAGTACATTTTTCTGGAGAGAATGTCCATAACTATCAGAAGGTTCTTGAAGGGACCCATGACCGCTCAAACTGTGAAAAGTAACAGTTCTGAGCCCTCTTTGAGTCCTAAGAGGCATCAAATTATGACTCAACTGTTGGGGTTTCAGGAAATTCTTCCCCCAGTGACCTCTCGACACAGGTTGTTTGTTGGCAAGGAAGGTGGTTGGTTGCACACAACTGATGTTCCCTGTGGAATCGTTTTGTTCATGGAGTAAGAGCCAGACCCAAGGATGCTGGATGATGAGCCAGGTGTGATGTCAAATATTAGAAGACCTTTAATGGCAGGGATAGGGCTATATTGAGTTCCTTCTGCTTCCTAATCATTAACAGGCTAATTACTAATTGCTAACTTAGGAATGTTATGAAATTTATCATCTCATTGTTAGCATAAACAAAAGAGAGATTTAATTCACCTGAGATTATATAATGTGTTAGAAGGTATTCTAGGACACAAGGGTAAATAAGACATGGTTCCTGCCTTCAAGGAATTCATAGTCTAGCAAAGAAGAAATAAGCCTCAAATATTTTTTACAAAATGATTTTCACATACAAAGAGGCTACATATTGTAGGTCATAGAGTATACAGGAAGCTGTATAGTATAAGACACTTATTAATGGTCGTATCCTAACATCGCTTGTAAATGAATCGTCTAGAGTGCAGAAATTGTGTTGTAAGGGAATCAAACTAAGAACTGTTATTTTTTGAGCTCCTACTACATGCCAGGTGATAAACTAGTTATTTTAAATACATTAGAATATTTGAATCCCCAAACCACCCTACAAGGTAAATACTAACATTCCCATTTTACAGATAATGGAACTGAGGCTGGGAGAAGCCAAGTCACCCGGCCGAGGTCATACATATTTTTAAGAAGCGGGACTGATCTGATTTAAGCTAGCTTCTGATTCTAGAGATCAAACTCTGTCTTCTGCACTTGCTGTCTTCCATGGATTGCATCAAGCAAACACCAATTGTATATCAAACATTCTGGTGGGTACTTTATACATAATCCCACCCAGTGCTTGCAATGACATGCAAGGGTAAATGCTACTGTCCCCATTTTAGAGATGAAGAAATTGAGGCTGAGGAAGGTGGAGCTATTATCAGTTGGATCCACCTTTATGGATGGTCTGTATGTCGAACTGCCTGCTGAGTTCGAGAGAGGGACCGCAGCTATCCCACCACGCTTACCTCGTGCGGTGGGACTCTTCTCCCTATCTCAGTGTCCACAGCAAGGAGCACAGCTGACTACATGACTTGTGTGGCCCAGTGCAAAGTGAATTGTGGGGCACCTTGCTCAAAAATCATTAAGAATTTCAAGTCAGTGACAGCAGAGCATTAAACCAACCCCAGGGCCCTTCTCAGGGTGGGTTCCTATACAGCTATACAGACCTCACAGCTATGAACTGGTCTGAGCAAGGAGAGAGGAGATCAAAAAATGAAGACACATTTGCCAGGGCTCACAGAGTGGGGAGTTGACAATAAAGGTAAAAGAATGGAGGAAAGAGGGTTTCAGTTAGGGGAGGAGGGGGACGGATTATCAGTCCCTCAAACAGGCGGTAGTCAGAATTAGCAGAGGAGCCAGCAGTGTCTTCCAGGTATCCAAGAACCTGTCCCCCACAAAGTTTCTGGACTCACTGTCTGTGAAGCGTTTTGTATGTATGGGACAGATACATATAAGCTACCTAATTCCAATGTCACTGTCAATGAATATCCAGAAAGAGAAGTCTAACTATGGAATTTTTTCACCGTTGCTCAGAAACTCAGAGCACTTGAGGAATGTGGTATTACAAACCTGCTGAGTGCCATCCACTTGAATATGTCCCTCAGCAGTTTAGGCTGAAGCAAGATATTTCCTGTTAGGTCCTTGAAAGGGACCGAAAACAGAGCTTCATTCCTACCAGAAGCTGGCCACCTTTCCCAAAAGCCCTTGAGTAATGAGCGGGCTGTGGAGTGTTCACTTTCCTGGAGCCAGGCCCGTGGAGTAGCTGATGAGGGGTGCCCCAGAAGCCCTAATGAAGCCTGAGTCCTTAAGAGGCTGGCAATACATCTTGCAAATAACTAAGCCCTTAATAGGTATTTGTAGAATGAGGCAGCAGGGTATAGTCTAAGTTGGCATCAGAACTTGGCCCTGCCACTTACTAGCTATGTGACCTTGGGCAA